CCATCTTGGATCAGGTCCACATTTTCCCGACCATCAATGAAAACGTACAAGCCATGCTTGAGAAAGGTTTATTGAAATTGAAATTGACAGCTAAAGAATTCACACTTCAGAGTGTCGCGCAAGCAGACGAAAAGAACTGTCACTGGAGTAGGATACGTACGATTACTAGTACGTTCAGATAAACCTTGCAGACATTACTAAATCAATAAAACTTGGAAATATCCTGCTTTTTAAAATATTAATAAGGTTTTAATCAGCGAACCTGCGCATGCCAGTGATACTGATCTTTGGACAAACGTAAGTAAGTAAACAACAACAAACATATGAAACATATGTGTGAACTGCGGTTATGAGACGTATATGAGAACGATCCTTCTCATATACGTCTCATAACCGCAGTTCACACATATGTTTCATATGTTTGTTGTTGGCGAAGTCATATTAATCATTATTATAGTACCAACCTCCTCGCTGTTTGCCAATACATCAGTCTTACTCACTGGTTACCAAGGTTCGCTGATAGATATAGGATGTTTTCATTTTCCGTCAGCGAAAGGCATTATGCGAAAAGGAGAGCGATGCGTGATATATGCGAGTAAATAACTGCATAACAGCCATATGATTTGGCGAAACTTGACTCTCGCCTCACAGCAAATTATTTTATTTTGATGTTTGTCATAATCGATGGTGGAACATTCAGTGCGCGCGGATATTTTGCGAGCTGCTTGGAAATTTACTACAGTAACATTCAGCACAGTTTCCGCGTGTATTACTTGTTAAACTCTCAAGTAAGATATTTCTTAATTCTCTGCAAAGGGATTTGATTCATTTGGCTTCTCCTTTGAAAGAAGAGTGAGTGTCACCCTGTATTATGAATCTATCTGTAGAGGGCACGTGCAATGACATTACGATCTTATATTTTGCGTGTTGTACCTTACACATGCATCATAAAGTAACTTTATAATGATTATAAATATACCTTTTTACGTTATCTGTGACATAACTGGTAGCCTTGTGACAGAGTTGGGGAAATTTATCACGAGAATCTGACTTCGTTACAGAGAATAAGCAGGAGACGTCCCAAACCGAAATTTTTCAAATCAACGAGTGGATCATCGTCTGTGGAGTACAGCGCAGATGTGGAAGATACAGTGGTAGGGATAGCACGAAGCTACTTCAAAGAAAAAAAAAAAGGAAAAACAAAACAGAACTGCAAATAAGTGATTTTATAACAACAAATAAAAACGTTTCTTTCGCAGCTATATCAGAACTAGCTGTAGACCACTGTCATTTCTGCTTAGACCTCGGCTTTGGCCGAATTGTTTAACTTTGAAAATAATGGATTCCTACATCTTTTTTTTTTAAATGAGATCTTATTTGGTATCATACTTTGCCAAAGTTTTCTCACTGGTGAGCAAAATATTTATGGTAAAAAAAGATGATGATCTATTGAGATTGAAGGAATATTTGTTAGCAGCTGCCACGAGAAACTTTTCTATTTAGGCAGTTTGGTTGGTTTTTCTTTGAGTTGTCGTTGGCTCTTATAGGGTATTTCCTTTCTTCTGAGCGGCCTTTGTGATTACTTTTAGGGTCAACATACACCAGGAAAGCTTGGTGCAGTATCTTCAGAAGATGACGAAGATGATTTTTCCCCGTATGGAGAGACGAGTAGAGATGAAGCCAAGGAAGGGTTAGTATCCTCAAGGACAATTCTGTGTATTGATAATGAACGGTATCTACGATTTGCACTGTCATTGAGTTTCAACCATCGCTATCTTTGTTTAATTTGTCCAGTGAATCAGAGGCCGAAGGAGAAGAACTTGCCCAACCAGAATTTAGGGGACTATGGGAAGAAGGTGTTCATAAGGTTAGTTTTTTACGTTATTTTTCATCTTGTTTCTAAAGACTGAAACCATAGTCACCCCAACTACTGGAAAGTACGTTACACAGGGAAATAGGGCAATTTCCAATTAAGTGACAAAAGCAATCCGGGATTACTTAGGTGTGGCTCACAACAGTCCGTGATTGGTACAAAAACACTTGTGCCATCCTTCGACCAAACAAATTTAAGACTAAACCCAAGTGCGAATTTTTTACTCGCGTTTTTCCGCGCTCTAGGTATTTTGCTTGTTTTGTCCTTGTCTTTTCATTGGTTCTATGTAATACTTTTCTTTCTTGTGATTACTTTGCTTTTGATTTTATACTGTCAACTGAAGTACGCCCCACGACTAGAAACCAATCAGACCTTACTGCGTACTTCTGTAATTTGAGATGCATCACTGAAAATGCGTTTTACCCTGTCGGTTTAAGTGGTACTACTACTGACTAATCGAAGTAGTTTGAAAAGGGTGGCTAACATAAGAATGCGTGTCTTGTTTTGCAGATATCTGAGAAGAAGGAGCACAAATTTAAATTCGCAACTCACATTCCAAGTAAAATGGAACAGGTAAAATTTTGATAAAATCTATAATTTGAATCTCGAGTACTTTAATGGAGAAGTAATATTATTTCGCTTTTTAAAATTCATCAAAATTCATTAAAAGAAAAACATTACACATGTATTGGCTAACGCGTTCCAAAAGGTGAGGACGCTCTAAGTAAGTCTTCCAGGTTTTTTGTCTGTCTTTTTGAAAATCTATTGAATGTACCACCTTGAAACTAAAAGGGTAAACGTAAACACATATTTAGGAATGAGAGATTGGATGTTGTTAGCCTAAATCATTGTTGACAATTTGAAGATTTCACAAACTTAATGTATTTGGAATGTGCCGTTTAAGTTGAGATTCACCTTTACGGTGTATTTTGCACACTGTTTTAATCAACTGTTTTCTCTTAAAGTTTATGTGGTGACGTTGAATTCACTGTTTTATACAGGAGATGATGGAAAGGGCTCTCATGAAACAAAGAGCAGGGATCGTTCAGAAACAAGTAGCTGCTGGAAGAGAATTTAAGGTTTGTGGTGATTGTTACTAACTTAGTGGAACTGCCACACAACTTACTGAGTCTTTCTTTTTGTGGCGTATGAACCAAACTCGAAGGTGACTATTGAAGATATTAATTGAAGAAGATAGAAAAACACCAAACGGACAAAAATGATCCAGGACGGGACAAGGATTGCTGGGGAAAGGACGGAAAATAACGAACTTGAAAAAATGTAGGCTAAATTGGCATCTTACTGGGAGTCACTTGTGCGAATTTTCTATACCTCTTTCATTGAGACAATCCTTTCAATGTTTCCCTCTTTCCCGAACGTTTCTGTGCCGGAAAAACAAGTGGGAGCATAGGAGGACATCACGAAGGAGAAAGAGACTCTGAATTTGTTGAATTTCTCATTACTTCCTGCGTGGTATATTCTTACCTCTTCGGTGTTTGTTAATACAAGAAAAGTATTTTGAAATTCATTCTTTTCTCAAGGGCATTTCTCTATGGCGCTGTCATTGATTTGAAATATGATGCCAAGGCTAAGTTATTTTCAGTATTTACATCCAAGGGAGCGGTTTTTTGTGACTGATTTTGAAAGGCCTAAACTGGAATCAAGCTTGGTCCATAAAACGTTCCGTAACGAGTCGTTCTCTTTCTGTTGTTCTCTGCAGGGTTGTGCTTTTTACAGTAAACCTGAGGTCATCGTATTTAAGGTGTGTATGCCGGTAGGAAAATGACTTACTGTCCTATTACGATAATGGAGTAGTAACGAGAAGGTTAGGACGAGTTGCTTGTCAACTGAAAAGACGTGATCCTTTTTTTCCCAGGACTTTGACGTCGGGAAATCGTACAAGAAGAAAATTCTTTTAACAAACATCTCATACACCCAGAACTTCTGTAAATATGTTGGCATGTCTCATATCCTGAAAGACTTCATCGAAGTGTTGTAAGTAAACTTCCCCTTTAATACCGTCCTAGAAAAGAAAGAAAATTGCGAGTTTTATATCGTTAAGAGACTCAGGGTATTGTTACTCCCCCACCCCACCCCACCCCATGGGATACTAGTCCATCGCAGGTTACCATCCCTTCCCCAACCCCYCCCCCCCCCAGCGCTTTGACAGTTCACTGCGATCCATGTATACTCTTGAGGAAAGAGAGGGACTTTTAAACGGTAGAGTATCTTGTCAGGAGTACAACATACAGACCAGGGTCCAGTTGTTCGAAAGCCGATTAGCGCTAACCCAGGGTTAAATTTTAATCCAGGTTTCTATATTTCTCTGTTCAAAAGCCGTTTTGGTATAATTTTCCCAATGCTTTTAAGAGCATTCAATCATCAAATTGTAGACAAGTGGAATTAAACTGAATTTTCTTCTAAATCTTTCAGATCTGAAATCACATTTCACACTAACCCTGGGTTATCTTAACCCACCTTTAAACAACTCGGCCTAGGACTCAAGCTCGGACCCCTTAATGCGAATTCCAGCGGGCTATTCATAAGGATAAACGAATTCCAGCGTGCTATTCATAAGGTTAAACGAATTCCAGCGTGCTATTCATAAGGATAAACGTTTTGCACAAACTACAGCCATAAGCTGTTCTTTACCTGGCAATAAAAGTGCACTTACAAAAACATTTTGTTTTCGTTTACATTTCACCAGTTTTGATCCGCCCGGAGTGATGTCTGCAGGCCTGACTTGTGATTTTGTCGTGACGTTCAAACCAATGGTGAGTTTAGAAAGTCTACATAACGAGTTAAACTCTTTCAATATCATGTTAAGATTGAAGTCACATTGTGAACAAGTTTTTCCTTTTATTTTCTTGAACAGCTGAATGAAGACTTGGTGGGGCACATAGATTTCCTCGCCCAAACAGGACCCTTTTCAGTTCCAATTAGATGTGTCACCAAGAAATGCCAGGTACTGCTCTGAAACATTTTCAACGTACATGACCGACCTAGTTTAAAGTGCTTTTCAAATGAGTGTTGTAAAATTCAAACCAGCGTTTTAACAATGGCCAGTCAGAACAAAGAAGAATACCACAAAGAACCGATGAATGCTCAAAATAAACACATTTTTAACTTCATAACTGCATCTTGTTGGTCTTCTGACAAGAGTTTCTTCGCTTGAGAGTCGATGAACCTTCTTTGAAACGGAAGCTGTCACAACGGGCTGTCTGAACGTAGGAGAATTCCCAAGGAGCAATTGAGAACTTGGCTTCAAGCGTGGAAATACACTTAACGAGTCCCAGTTTTTTCCCCTTTTGTTTTGTATCTGATTCTGTAGAAAGCTTGTGCGTCGACCATCTTGAAATAAAGGCAGAGTGAAGCAAAACCAGTACATTCCAGGATTCCTTTGGAGTGAAAACGATATTTCGCTGAAGTTTTGACCACAAATTATTTTGCCATTCGATTTGGCTGTTGGACTGATTCCTACGTTACTAATTGTTCTGTATGTGAATCTCAGAGGAAATACTGGCAAACGAGTTCTTGTATAGGTCGGTTTTTAATGTAAGCTGTACTTTAGATTTCAGTTGATGTCACTGAAGTTGAATTTGGAAGTCAAGTCTTGGGAGAAACCAGAAAGAGAATTATAAATGTTACAAATAATGGAGCGTTAGGAACGCAATTTACGTTCAGAAAGATAACAGGTATTTAACTTCATTTTCATTTTGAAAGTAATATTTGTCTTGTGGTAAGTTTAATAAAACCAAATTACTGAAAGGTTCGCTCAATTTGTTTTGACACAAGACGGGATAACTGGGTTTAGTTCTAAAAATCAAGGCTTAACGTTAAGATAATGCGTCCATTTATTCAAGGTAAACAAGCTAGCACTTACATAAGACGCCAAGTCGCTGTATCACCGGCACATTTTCACTTCCCTATACTGAGGTTCTTTTAAGAGATCGCGCATCACCCACATAACATTTAGACACTATACAAAGTGAGCGCGCGTCGTAACGTAACGTAACAGTAAAATACCAGACAAAAAAGGCGCATATCGCTAGCGTTACAGTCAAAAAGTTCTTTACTAACGCAACATTCAGACACTAAACGAAGAGAGCGCGCATCACCAACGTAACAGTCAGACAATAAACAAAGAGAGCGCGCGCATCACTAACGTAACTGTCAAACACTAAACGAACAGAGTGCACATTTCAAACATAACAATTAGTATAGGTAATCACATGATTTCGAGTGCAATTTGGAATAAATAAGCACGAGTAAATTTTTTCAAAGACTAACAAAATTGCATGAGCCCGCAGGGCTCATGCAATATACCTGAAAAAATACGAGGTAGCTTCTCATAACTACGCAGAAGAAAAGCGCGCGCATCACATGTAAAAATAATTTATTCAAACCCTTCATCAAGTGACATTGACCTTGACATTTACATTGACCAATCATTCTGACCAATCAGAATGTCTGGTTTGTTACTTTCTTTGCACTGAGTTAACCCTCTTCTGCACTGAATTACCTGAAAACTGCATTCATCTCAACCAATCAGAACTGAGAAATTTTATCATGTATATTATTAAACTCTAAACAAGGAGAGCGCGCATCATTAACGTAACAGTCAGACACTAAACAAAGTGACCGCGCATCATTAACGTAACAGTCAGACACAAAACACAGAGAGCGTGCATCGTTAACATAACAGTCAGACACTAAACAAAGATAGCGCGCATTATTAACGTAACAGTCAGACACTAAACAAAGAGGGCGCGCATTTTTTAAGGTAACTATCAGACACTAAACAAAGAGAGCGCGTATTATTAACGTAACATCAGACACTAGACAAAGAGAGCACGCATCATTAACGTAACAGTCAGACACTAAACAAAGAGAGCACGCGTTTTTATGGTAACAATCAGACACTAAACAAAGAGAGCGCGCATTATTAACGTAACATTCAGACATTAAACAAAGAGAGCACGCATTATTAACGTAACAGCCAGACACTAAACAAGAGAGCGCGCATTTTTATGGTAACAATCAGACGCTAAACAAAGAGGGCGCGCATTATTAACGTAACATTCAAACACTAAACAAAGAGAGTACGCATTATCAACGTAACAGTCTGATACTAAACAAAGAGAGCGCGCGCATCACTAACGTGACAGTCAGACACTAAACAACGAGAGCGCGCATCATTAACTTGACAGTTAGACATTAAGACAGAACGTGACAGAAAGACACCAAAGAAAGTAAATGCGCGTTACTGATGTAACGTTCAAACACTATAGAGTAAAACCAATCGCTCAAATGGCATCTTGGCTGTTTTGTCTTAAAAAAAAAAACCTGTTCATATCATATAAAAAGGATAAGTAGGTGGCCGGAGAAAGACGCTTACGGCCAATATCGAGCTGATAATGAAAGGGACGGTGGTTTTTGGAAATAATCAAAAGCTAAAAAAAAGGGTAAAAAATACGCCCAACGTGTGACGTGAGTGATACTGCTCCGTGCATTTTTTAATGGTGAAGTTAAGATCAAAATTGAGCGTTTTTGTGATATGACTGCAATTGTTTTGGCAGCTTTTTAACCATGTGCTAGTGATAAAAAGAGAAAAATTTGCAGTTTGCAGAGTAAATGAGGTAAAGATTCTGCTCTTTTCTTTAAGGCTTGGCGAATTCCCTTTCCTCTTCAGAGCTGAGTTCTCTTGGAGGAATGGTATGTGGAACTCATTTGTTTCAGTAAAGATAATTTAGTTTCATTAACTGACTTGATAATGTAGATTCGTCACCGTATCGAGTTTCTTAAGCTGACGTTTCGAACGTCAGCCCTTTATCAGAGCGATCGACTGAGGGCTAACGCTCGAATCGTCGGGTTTAGGAACTATTAACGGTGGCTTATATTCATTATTAACTGGGTTATCTTGTAATCTCTCCCCCCCTCCCCTCCCCCATCACCGACGTATCACCACAGTTTCCTTGGTAACTTACCCCCTTGATTCAGTGAGGATGAGGTGAGGATGACTGTCTGTGTGGAGGATGGCGCAGCACAAAAATGAATTGTACGGCAATTTTTCATCCTTTCATGTTGTTTTTATGTCGTCTTTCGATCAGAGGTATTCTGTTTTCGAAATCTGACATACAGACTCAAAAGTTGCAACTTTTGTTTACAATGAGACAATTTACACTGGTCTTACCTGTCTTTTAGACTGTAACGGATGTAAATGTAACTCAGCAAGGCCCCAACCAGACAGAGCTACAGGTTCCCCCCGAGGGGATGGCAGAGGACGCAAAAGAACCTCAGGGGGCTGCTGTAACAGCAATTCCGGGTGAATCAGGTCAACAATGAAGTGTGGCCCAAGTCCTATGTTAAAGTTGAAAGTTCATATCAGACCACTTTTAATTTTATGCCGAGAGAGACAACACGTGTGACAAAATGTACTTTGGGTTCACGGCACTGGCAAGTGTCCTTTTCGAATCATAGATGATTCGAAAAGGACACTTGCAAGGAAATTGATAGTGGAAAGGTGCTGGAAAATCTTAGGCAACTAAGTTTTGTATGACAATGTCGTTGACAAGTCTTCTTCGTCAATGTTTACAACAAACGACAAATAGAGGTGCCAGAGCCTCTCTGATACGGCTCGGTATCGAAAAAGAAAAATGGTGCTCTTCTAGTAGAGAGACTTCTGGTGTCATCTGTTTGTTTCTGTTTTTATATAACTTTTGTTGTTCTTTACAGACGGTGAAGCGGCAGACAAGGCCCCGGAGCACAGGTCTGGTAGTACTATTAAGTTCGAGGAAGGATTGGCAGCTACTGAGGGGGATGTTCCCGCCCCTATAGAAGAGACTGGGGACCAGCCAGATGGTTTGTAGCGTAGATCATCGATTAAATTCCAAACTCATGACCAGGATATCAGGTTTGATCCATACATTTTCTTTCTTTCTTCTTCTTGCACATATTAGTTGATCTGACCTCAGCAGCACCTCAGACCATCTCACCAATCCCAACAGAAGCCTCTATATTAGAAGGTCTCAGAGTAGGAAAGGTGAATATATATAGATATATATGTATTGTTCTCAAGTGCTGTCGCGATTATTTTTATGTCTGAGAGTTATTTGCGTAAGGATGATTTAGATTCATAGCTCTGATCGTAGAAGAAGCATACCAGCTAGGTTTAGTTTTTGTGTCTTCATAGTTAAGCTATTTATTTTCTTTTTCTTCTATCAACAGCTTTCTTCTGGAGAAATCGCTCCGTTCTCTTTAGTCCAGGTGGAAGTGGTATTTAATCCTACCAAGTCAGGGAACGCTCTCGCCGAGTTTGAGATAGCCTTTTCAGATCCCCTCTCACCCCCGGTAAGTTTAACACCGTCCTCTTAGGCCGAAAAGTTGTTCGATTTCATTCAGCCTAATGAAAGGAAATTATATACCAATTTACGTATCGATGCTCAAATGCCCAGTAATGGTGCTTACAAGCTACATGTTCTTTGATTAAGTATTTTAGACTCCCTTTAAAAGCAGCACGTCGTTCAAAACCCTATAATGCGATTCTGATCTTAAAAAGAGATCGCCGTAATTTTGGTATTAAAAACTGGAATTCAAAGAATTAACAACGTGGGTTTAACAATACAAGGTATATCACAGGTTAGTTAATGTCTAAGTGAAAAAAGATATATTGGGTTGTTACTTGGAACAATGCAAAATTTATTATTTACTGAATCATCCTAACAAAACTGCGTCGTCGTAAGGTAGATACCAGTGTTGTTGCCTCTTTCAAATGATGTTTTCGAACTACTCTGTGCAGTGGAACCTTCATTCATGCGCCACTTCTCGTGTTAAAAAAAAGTGTTCCCTGAATGGAATTAAAAATAGTGACAGGTACTAAGAGAGGCATTTTTTGTTCTGTCGGGAGCGAAGTTTGTGTCCGCTCGTGAGACCACCCTGTAGATATCCATAAATCACTCTGAGAAGAATATGCTAATTTTTTTTCTCTCTTTCTTTCTTTCCTTTTTCTTTTTGTCATTCGTCTGCAGATAGTAATCCGAGCACGAGGAACTGGAATTGATGTCCCTGTCTGGGTGGAGAGAGAGGTAACGCGTCAGTTCTTTCCCAAAAATTACTGGATGTTGTTTGGGATAGGAACCCTTTTCACCTTAAAATCCGTATGCATATTCTCCTTACTGTTCAGTATGCATATTCTCCTTGCTGTTCTCTATACATTTCCTTCAATGCTAACAAGGAGAATTTGTTTAACACTCAAGAGTCTGTTTAGTTGGTGATCATTTCCTTTATTCTCCTGACCTTACTGTGTGATTCAGGGGGGTGATGCTGTAAGGAGAAATTAGATGCTAGTCACTCTTAGGGGTTAAAAGGTTTAGAGGATTTTTAGAAATCAAGAAAATATTGAGATATTTGTTAGAAAGTTTAGGATTCGTTAGAAACATTCACAACTTTGTAGCGTAGCCGGGGTTGCCATGTTTCCTTCAGACAATACATAGTCCTCTGCCGGAATTGCCTGATTATTTTTCAATTGATCGACCCCCTCCTTAACTAGGTCGTCGACTTGAAGATGTGCATGTACGACCGACTGTATCAAGACGCAATACTTGTCAACAATAGAGCCACTTCAGCTCTCAGACTAAAGTTTGAAGTTTGTAAAGAACTAAGGAATCACTTGGAACTGCTTCCCAAGACAGCTTACATACAAGCTGAGTCCCAGTTCTCCGCGCAGCTCAAGTTCCTTCCGCGGTAAGAGAGAGTTGCCTTCATCTGTGCCATGGGAGTTGCCACAGTTTAAGGCTTAGATAAACAAAATTATGTTGTAAACTGAATTTTTCTCCCATTTTTTAGTAGGGGTTTCTTTGCTTTTCTTTTCTCATAATTTACTCAGCTCACGGCTTGCACAGCTTTGTGGTTATTCTCAGTGGTTGTTGACCGAAATATGCCTTGTCGTTTTTTCAGACAAACGCTGCCAGATGACTGTCCAACATACTTTGATGAAGAGAGCAGATTGCTCGAGGCCCCTATGGTCATACGTGTCGCAGATCAGGTTGGTTTACTCTGCCCTCTTTAACGAACTAATTTCTTGTTTGCTTTACCCTTCGCTTTAGTCTTACTAAATTAACAAATTATAAAAAGCTCAATGAGACAGAAGATTTTGATTTTGTTTTTTTCATGTTTGGGCAATGACAGGAGTTTCAATAAAATCCGGTTACAGGCGGTTTTCCCCCGCCTCTAATACCCCATACTGCCGTGTGTTTAGCCTGCTCGCAAGTTGTCGTGTTTGGGTTTGGATTTACGTATTATATTGACATGCCCTGCACCTGGTTCCTCTCCTGTAACTGCCCTAGCCACCGCTCCTAATTTCTATCTGCCTGATTTTAATTGTACTTTACTGTGCACTATAAGTAATTAATTAGATTTATTGAAATTTTATCAAAATTTAAATTTTTATCAGATCTTTTAATTAGATTTGGGTCGCGCTTCGCAAGGGATACTTTTTCCCCGCAAACCCTTTTGGTCGTTTTTATTTCTAATATTGACTTACTATATTATACACTACATATGAGACCAATAAGCTTGATAAACTATCTTAAACTAAACTACGGCCCCTTCACCGAGCACAGCCGCCAATAACACTATCAGCAGCCGCTTATGGAAAAAGCTTTTGAAACCCTTGCAATTGGATTCCTATTTTGTGTGCTGTATGTTACATTTAGTGAACTTTTACTCTGTGTGAGGGTCATGACATTGCGCGCGTTTTGGTATGCCAGGTTCGGTATCTGGCGTTTACTTAGGTGTGATACTCCGGTACTGTGCTTTTCTCCTGTACCGTGTAGAGATGCAACATGATTTGCAACTTTTCAGTTACAGTGGATGCGACGTTTCGTAACATTTTGTACGTTTTTTCACGAGATGTGTGCGTGCACGTGACAATGTTCGCTTCACGTACGATTGCGTGACTGTGTGCCTGGAAGGTCGTGACTTAAATGGATACTCCAAAATCAGTTTTTCGAGTAAGGAACTGGAACCTATTATTTCCGTTTTATTTCCGAACTATTCTCGTTGAGGTTCATGACGTGAATTTGGAGTATCCAGTATTTAAGTCGCCACCGTATCTTGAAGAGCTTCTTTGCCTTTTCATCTATAGACGCGGCCAGTTCCGTTCACAGTGAGAGCGATGGTGACGTCATCAGACATCGAGTTTGACGTTCGAGTCATCGACTTTGGTTTCTGTTCAGTGCTGGAGTCAGTCAGACGGACAGTCACCTTAACTAACAAGTCTGTATTACCTCAGCAATTTGGATTTTGTGGAGTACCTGATGTGAGTTGTATTTTCATCTGTACCAAGGGATAAAAAAGAATTCGAAACTTATAAGAACTTGAATCTTGGTTCAAAGAGGACTCTTGCCTAACAGCGCATCCTCATGCAAGAATATCATCTTATTTGCAATCACCGATGTTCGTTAGAGTTTAAGATTTTTTAAGGATTTTGTGTGATGCTTTGTCATAGAGATTTCGGATTGTCATCTCAAATTTAAACCTGTCGCATCATTCCTTCTCTAAAGCATTCATGCCCAGCTTTCAGCGCCTTTGTCTCACGGCTTTGTGTTTTTAAATACTTCAGACGGTTGATGTTCAGCCTAATGATGGATTCGGTACCCTGCTGCCTTTGGAAAGTTTTGATGTGGACATCATGTTCAACGCCAAAAAAGCTAAAGTGAGTCATGTAAAAGAACAGTCAGAGGTTTGAGTAACTTTCAACTGAGTGTCTAAAATGATCCGGGATTATATAAATTTTGCTTTACTTCGCGCTGTTCTAGCCAGACAAACTTGCGCCACACTGAAACCACTTGTGAATTGGTTAGTCGCGTTTTCCCTCTCAAGATATGATTTACTTCATATATTATTGAAAATCAAAGTCAAAGTCTATACCTAGCTATTGGCAAGAAGTGTTTTTGTTTTGTAATAAGATCTTTGTTTTTAAGAGGTCGAAACTTTACCTTCCTATGTCTTTGTAGGAATACGAGTTTGATCTAACCTGTAAGACTGGCATTGGCCGCGAGTTCAAACTTCACTGTAGAGCAGTGGGCGTCCTTCCTCCACTGGAACTCTCTCACTCTGTGATCAAAATGAAAGCCACAGCTGTCTCGGATACATGCGCAGCTCACATTGAAGTCATCAACTCGCACACCAGCGCAAATGAATTCACCCATCCAGTGCCCAGAATTGGCTCAGGTCCCATTGTAGAGGTGGGCCCCACGTCGTTCGAATTTATGGTCCCTGCTGATGCACCCCTGACTGTGTCCCCAGCAGTTGGCACCGTCAACCCGGGAGAGGTAAATTTTAAAGTTATTAAGTCATTTATTGTTTAAAAGACTTGAAGCTTTTTACACTCAACTCTTGTTCCTTTTCCCTTCGATACTTTGAAATGAAAAGGTATTTGTGTTAATGAATACTACTTTTGATGTAAATATTCTAAATGAACATATGAAAATCAAGACGACTATTTTTTCGCTAACTTGATTATACTTTGGCGATAATAAACTATTCATTGAACCTATTGAAAATTTATCTTGCGCTTTTGAAGAGCAAAAGGTGAAGTGGTCGAAAATAGTTGGAGTTGGAGTCAGATTGAGAGTTGGAGTTTCTCATAGAAGAAAATCATGTAGAGGTTTAGACAGCAAGGCATGATACATTAAAGAAGAGAGCTTTGTGATACAAGACTCTTTATACCTTCTGCTTAGCGAGTTTACTCAGGCTATTTTCCCCTAACGTCCCAACTTCTTGTTCAGTTCAACTTAAAATTGCTGCACGACGAGATCTCGTTTATTCGCTATCAGTACACGAGATTACGTAAGACGTATAGTTTGTCGTCAGTGCTATCGATGATGCCTCGGTTGTTGCGGATAGGTTTTCGATAGACTCGTAATGCAATCGTATGTATTTACGTTAAATCAACGAGATCGAGTCGCACGACATTTGTTGTATTTCTATTTGAACTTTGTTAGGTTACAGCTGCTAAGTCAATTTTTTTTTCCACTTTCTGTTGGAACACTCACTTCCATTCTTTGTTTCAGCGCTGTTTGGTTCATGTGACTTTCACTCCCCGTATGGATCCAAATATGGTTCGACAAGAGGCCGTGCGTATGATGGAACGAGAAGCTGAAAGTGAAAGAAAGAGACTGGAACTAGCGTCACCTCCAGAGAAGCCTCAGGAGCAAAATACAGGACAGGTAAGTGTCTTTGGTAGGAACTTGTCGCTCTTGAGGTCGTTGCTCTCGACAAACAATGAGGCTTTTTCGTAGCCACCGGCAGTCGTTTGCACTAGAGTTGGATTTGCTGTGAAATGGTGAACTTTGCGTAGGGGGGCCGTAAGGTCCGGTTTTAAACCCTGGATGGGTCACTGTGTTTTGTCCCTGAGAAATGATTAGTTCTCACAGCATCTCTCTCTCTACCCCGGAAAGTAAAAGGACATCGGCAAACTGTTTGGGAACAGTTTGCCGATGTCCTTTTACTTTCCGGGGTTTTTATTGTGCCGATGTACTTTTACTGTTGTCTCCCTGACGCAATGCAGGGAGCAACAGCTATGAACTAGCACTTATATATATATAAGTATACTTTGCGCTCCAGGTTAAGTTCTAGCTTTCTGCAGTTCTTTATTTCTCCAATGCGAATTTAGATATTGATGAACCTTTACGTGGCGGAGGCCTCTATTCAAAGAAAGCAAACTTTTTTCGCCACTGAAAGAAATGCTCCTAGAGCCTTTGTATCCATGGCTGTCATTTAAGGGACACTCTAAAAGAGGGGGGGTGTCCCGCGGACGGAGGTTGAACTGAGTAGCGTTCTCCCATTCAAGCTTGATGGTTTCGTTTCTTGTTTCCGTTGTTATAACAGAAAAAGAAAGGTGGCAAAGCCCAGGCTGGAAAGAGTGCCAAGGCATCACCAAAGCGAGGAAATACGCCGAGCAACACCAGCCTCGCCGCTACCACCCAGTCTCCGACCAAAACTTTCACTGTCGCTGATGTAATTGACGGGTGAGTGTACAAGAACTAACTGCAATAATTGAATTCCTCATCAGAAGGACAAATACCCAGCCCAAATTAACATTAAACTACATATGAATAAAAGGGGTGAGTGGTAATGTGCCGGGGTGGGGAAGGGGGGAGGGGGGAGGGCGGGATGTTCCAAGATAATTTGGTTTTATCAACTGAGTTGATTATGTAAATTGCCAACGTTTAGAGTTACTAAAGTTGACCTCTCGAGCGTTTCAGCGGATGAGGAAAGACTAACGGTCGAGTTTAGGAAGGGAAGGAGAAAGTGGTGTCTAAAGGAATGTCCCTTGTTTGTGTAATGAGCATCTTAAGACTACAGCGATTAGTAAAGTCGGAAGAGTCTTGTGTAAAAGAAGATGGACGAAGATGTTGTCATAAGTTAAAAACTTGTTTGTTGTTGTCTTTTTAGATCCAGTGAATACGAGTCAGCCCACTTGGCTTTACTCAGGACTTATCAGAATGCGTTCTCTAGATACTTGATTCCCTGCTTCGTTGCCCCGGGGCGATGTACCGAACCTAACTCCTTGTCATGCAGGTGAGATTGGCTAGGAGAGATTCTAACAGACGCCCTTGAGCTGCAGTAAGGCTAGCGGAAATTTGTTACGAAATGTAGGGAGTAGAATTTCCCTAAAGCCATTTACAATTTCAGTCAAAAGTATCTTTGTCAAGTCTTCTTCAAGGCATTAACCCCTGCACCGTTTAGTCAGAAGCTATTAACCACTTCTTTGCTCAGTCTAGAAATATCTTTGATCTCCAGGATAAGTAGTTGACGAGATGCAATTTCCTTCCTACAAGCATCACAAATGTTCGTCATATAGAAAATTGTACCGAAACACTTGTGATTATGTCAAATATCAGGCATGTGAAAAGCTAGTTGAAGACAGAGTTACACAAAGTTTCCACCAACCAAACTGTCTTTCGATCCTGGACATCAGTGCCAATTTACCCAAATTAATGCGAACAATGAAATGGTGTGGTTGGGAAAGTAATCATTGGTGTTCGAGGCGTAAATCCGATTTTCAAATTTGAATATTATTTTCTGTGTGGACTTTCGTGGGTAAATATTAACATGGTTTCTTTCTGTTTCTTTCAAAGTGTTCACAACACGATCTATTTAGAAGTACACTGTCCGGCCGTGCGGCCTCATTTGGTGGTCGTTTCTGATAGTGGAAGATCTGTTATAGACTTTGCAAATGTGTCCCTCGGTAAGAACAAGAGCATATCATTTCCCTCGTGAGTTGCGTCGAGTGAAAGGATCTTCCTCTACGGAAGATTACTCTTTCATAAGTTATTTATCCAGGAGCGTAATTCTGTTGTCCACTGTAACTTAAACAAGAAACTTTTAATTGAAAAAGTTTCATAGTTTTATGAACTACTACGATTAGAAGTGTTTGGGAACTACTAAAATTAGGATTTTTCTGACAAAGTGTCGGGGAATTATTAAGGCTCGCTATGTGTTGCAGGACCACACTTTTATTTTACCTTTTGAGTGATGTGTCCGTGAACGCTGTAGTAGGGATTAATTCTCGCACGATGATCGTCAGCGATAGTCGTGTTTGGGTTTGTTCTTAACCTTGCTTAGAGTCCTCAACGGGAAGTTTTGTTTAGGTTTTAGTTCTCGAAGATTGGTTGTTTTTCAAGTACTTTGTTGTTCATTGCCAATGTCTTGTGAGATTATTTTGGTTAGCGTTCAAAAAAATATGTTTACCCTACCAAGGTCAATTGTCCCGTAAGCCCAAACATACCTACCATTGGGGTATTTAAGCGTGTACCCAGGGCTGAAGAAGAGAGAGCCAGTGACTCAGAGAGTGAAATTAAATTCCTGATCAGACTCCTGGAGCCTCCCGTTTGCGCATGGTGTTCTAGCTAGTTTACCCAAACTGTCCATAAATAGTGACCATAATATTTTTTTGAGCAACTCTAACGTCGTCAGCGGTGTTACTGTTTGTAACTTGGAGCCAAAACTTTTAAGACTTTTACCCTAAATTTCGTTTGAAATGGTTGTATTGTTCCTTGTTATGTCTTTTAGTCAGCATGTGCGCAATGATTGGTCAATTTAGCAGGCCGCATCTCCCTGCACGGCCCGCTATATTCAAAAGTTTGTTTAAATTGGAATCTTTCCCCTCTAGTTGATCCCGGAAATATGATAGGCGCCATAAATCTGGGCGGAAAAAGCTTGGTCCGTAACTTATGGTACAGACCTCAAACTCGATTAGTAAGAGGTATTTATTTATTATATATTTTGCTTGTTTGTGTTTTACTAAGGTCGATCGGAGATAAAAAGCTTCACCATTCAAAATATTTCTGACGAACCTATAAAGGTAAGAACTGACCTCAACTATTTGAACAGTTTACCAGTAACTATGGCAGAATAGCCCGACTTGGTATCAAAATTCAGCAGTAAACTTTTAGCCTCAAGGAGAGTCTACGGGGAACCAAGCTAAGAGCCTGTGGAGTTTGCTTCCCTAGCGTCGTAATGAATGTTGTAGATAGGGACCAGTTATTTATTCCTGGGGGGGAACGGTGCTGAGGATTTGGAAGGGGATAAAGGGGATTACATGATTTTAACGGGGAACAGAGAGGGGGTAGAGTCGTCGCCGGCAGAAAAAAAAGGGGGGTAAATTGACTGC